ATCTTATATCCTAGAGTCATTGCTTAACTCATTTAGTTCTAGAAGGGTTTTCTTTGTGGGAAGTTTCTTGTTTTGGCAGATTCCTCAGGATTTTCTATGTAGACAGTCATTTATCTGCAAATAGGGACAGCTCTTATTCTTTCTCTCTAATCTGTATGCCTTTTATTTCTTTTTCTTACCTTACACAGGTTTTGACTTTACAGGTTTTACTGTACTTACTTCTCTTTCTTGCCTCACAATTCTGACTAGCTCCAGTAGCCTAGTGTTGAAGAGAAGTCATGGTGACAAGCAGTAGTGTCTTGTTCTCAGTCTTAGGGAGAAAGCTTTCTATATGTTACCATTACGTATGATATTTGCCATAGCTGTTTGTTTGTTGTTGTTAAGTGCCGTCCAGTTGTTTTTAACCCATAGTAACCCTGTATAGGATTTTTGAGGAGTGGTTGGTGAGCTTGAACCACCAACCTTGGGATTCAAACCGACCTTTTGGTTGAGTATTTACCCTACAGCACCACACCACCCTTTATCAGATTAAGGGACTTTTTTACTTAGGTCTCTAAGTCCTTCTCCTTCCACAAATTTATACTGTATTTTATGCAGATGATGATGATTATGTATATTTTTGCAAATTGTACAACTCCCTAACACATTACTTTTCCCATGTATGTGTGCTATTTACTTAGATGTATGTACATGTTACTTATGTGGACCCATTGTTTACCAAAAAAAATGTGGCATTGGATAAAATTGAGAGCCTGTATTTACATCTGTCCAAGTGATCATAGGTATTTATTCTATTAACTGAATTACATTGGCTTTTTATTGTTAACCTTTTATTCCTGCCAAAACCCCATGTTGGCCATGATATATCATTCTTTTAATATATTGCTGCATTTAATTTGTTACTACATTTTGATTAGGAGTTTTGCATGTATAAGGGGGCTTCAGAAAGTTTGTGGGTAAATTCAATTATCTTTAACAAACAACTAACTTTTTATTGTGAACTGAGTGAAGCTTTATAAGCAGATCATCAGTTTTACATTCAACAAATCATATACTTTGCTTCATTGCATGATTGCAATCCCTTCCATGTACCAGCAGTTAACAAGTGTTTATCGCTATTCACTTTAACTGTTTAACATTTCTCTCTTGTGTCTCCCGTTGCCTTCATCTTTCCTCTGCTAACTTCCCTCTTGTATGTTGTCTTGCCATCCATGTTAACATGTGGTTGCCCATGAATAATTTTCCCTCCCTGACCTCCCCCGACCCCTTGTACCATTTATAGATTGTTTCTTTCATCAAGAAAACTTTTTTTTTTTCTTTTAACTTTTTACAGCATTGGTCTCATACAATGTTTGCCCTTTTGTTATTGACTAATTTCACTCATAATATTCTCCAGGTTCAGCCATGTAAGGTGTTTCACAGATTAATCATTATTCTTCAATGTTTTGTAGTATTCTGTTGTGTGTGTATGTGCCAAATTGGGCGTTTTGACTGTCTCCATTTTTTTGAGATGTCTCTTATAGACAGCATATTGAAGGATCCTGTTTTCTGATCCATTCTGCTCTTTATGTCTCATGACTGGTACATTTAATCCATTTACATCCAGTGTAATTATCAGTAGGAGTCCTGGTGTGGCACTGTGGGTTAATGTGCTGGACTGCAAAGTCAGTTTGAACCACAGGGTCGGCAGTGCAAGCTTATCAGCTGCTCCTCAGAAACCCTATACAGGGTCACTATGGGTTGAAGCCAACTTGACGGCACTTAACAACAATACCAACATGAATTTATTGTTGTCATTTTTCTTGTTTTTTTTTTTTTTTTTTTTGTGTGTGTGTGTGTGTGTGGTGCTTCTGGATTCTTTGTTCCACATAATTTCCTATGCTGAGTTTATTTTGTTTGTGGGTTTTCTTTTCATTTCAGTTTCTCTTGTATTAATGTTTACTAAATCTTTCTGATTTTCCTCTTTTTTTTGTTTTGATGTGCAGATGTATTATTTTTCTTTGAGGTTACTCTGTGATTTATTAAAAAGTTTCCTGTTTAAAACAATCTGTTTTCTCTTGAAATCTACTTGACTTCTTTGCCATTGGGAAGTTCTTTATCTACACTAGTCCTTCTTCTTGCTTTGTATTTGACTCATTATATATTAATAGCTCTGTTTCCCTATTTTCAGTCTTGTATGTTTCTTTTATTTTAAATACTTCTGTAACTGGATTGAGTTCTGGGTCGTGTTGTTACGTATGGTAATCTGAGATTGTTGTCTGCTGTTGTTGGTTCTCAGTCCAGAGAACACCCTTTAGTATGTTTTGTAAAGCTGATCTGGTCATTACAAATTTTTTTAACTTCTGTTTATCAGAAAATGCCCTAATTTCACCATCATATGTGAGGGACAGCTTTTCTGGGTGTATAATTCTTGGTTGGCAGTTTTTAAATTTTTTTCAGAGTTTTGTAGATGTCATACCATGGCCTTCTTACTTGCATGGTTTCTGCTGAGAAATCAGAGCTTGTACTTAATTGGTTCTCCTTTGTAGGTAGCTTTTTGTTTTTCCCAAGCTGCTCTCAGGACTCTTTCCTTGTCTTTGATTTTGAAAGTTTAATTATGAAATCTCTTGGTGATTTTCTTTTGGGATCTATCCTGTTTGTGGTTTGTTTAGCTTCTTGTCTTTTATAATTTTAAGGAAATTTTCTTCCAACAACTCATTGACAATTTTCTCTGTGCCTGTCTCTTCCTGTTCTGGAATTCCAATCATCTGTAAATTGTTGCTTTTCATGGTGTCCCACATAGCTCTTAGTCTTTCTTCAGATTTTGTCATTCTTTTTTCTGATTTTTCTTCTAGCATGCTAGTATTGAGAGATTTATCTTCAAGCTATCTACTTTGGGATTCCATTGCCCTTTGAATGTATTGTCCATTTCTGAGATTTTAGGATTAATCTTCTGGATTTCTATTTGTGTTTATCTGTTTGTTCTTGTAGTGTTTTCCTGAATACTTCTAAAGTTTTTGTTGTGTTCTCCTTGTTTTCTTCATTCTATTGATCCTTTGAAGGTACCTAATTGTCATTCTGTTGGATTCTTTTTCAGATAGTTCCATTTACCTTTTCTTCCTCAGACCAGTTTTCTGGCTCTGCAGCTTGGTCATTTGTTCGAGCCACTCTCTCATTTCTTTGTGTGAACTAAAATTTTCTGTTGTCTCTGGGGCATTATGGGGTTGTTGTATTTGTTAAAACAAACAATACAGTTGTTGCGCCAGGAGAAGAAAAACCTCTGGTGGGTTTCTGTATTTCACGGAACTCACGAGGTCATCGTGGAAGGGATGTGACAGCAGAATTTTTGGCCCTAGATGGAATTCCTATTGGCTTCGGTGTTACCTGTGTTCGTGATAGGCCCTTGGTAGAGCTGGTTTCAGTGTCTCTTAGGACCACAGGGAAGCTGGGAGCAGGGTGAGTGGTTAAAGCTGGCCTGGAATCAAACCCACCTGAATCCAGGCACCGAAGTGGCACACAAAAGTGGTGCAGCTGGTCCCCACCTCACACCATATAGCTCTGAACTCCCAGAGAGCAGGGTCTGTGCTGTGGGTGGATGAGGGTAGGAGCTGGCCACACTTCTGGTCATTAAGGGAGCATGGGGAAAAAGAAGAAATCTCACCTTCTCTTTCGCCCACTCGAATCTGCTCTTCCAGGTCTCCCTCTGAGATAGGAACCCAGACTGTTTCTGAGAAAATGAAACCTAAGGTATGTAAATCCCCCAACAGTAGGAAGGCCTCAGTTAGGAAGTTCCTGCCCTTTATAACCCATGTGCCTTTTTTCTTCCTTATAACTGCTTGCCCACCCCCACACCCCAATTGTCAGCTGGCTAGTGTACTTGATATCCACTCCTTGGCTGCCCCACCTGCTGGCAACCCTATAAAACTCTTGTAACCCCCAATAGCAAATAGCAGGGCTCAGTCTCTGGATGAGAATCCACTGAGCCAGGTGCCTGCACAATACACCCTTCCTTTTGATGAAAATCTGCATGGTGTTTGGCAGTTCCTTTACGTGGCTCCGGTAACACCTCCACTGCCAAAACTACTCACAAGATAGTTGAGGCATGTCTGGCCAGCCATTCATTCACCAGTCAGTTGCCGTCTCTCGCTGTCCCTGCTCGGCTTTTCTTCCTAGCAAGCACTCCATCTACTTCTCTAACCTTTCATCTGAAGTTCAGGGTGCAAGAAGTTTCATTTGTGTTTTATCTGGTCTCTCATATTTTTGTTGTAGAGGGTTTGAGTGGTGGGTCTGCCGAATCTGCCATCTTGCCTGAAGTTGTTTCAATTATCTTTTAATTACATTTTCCCTCCAATTCTTCTTTGAAGCCTCCTCATATGTTCATGAATGAGGTTGCCCTATGATTTTTGTCATAATGTTCTTGTCACTTTTTAGTGTCAGGATTTTCTGGCAACATAAGTTGAATTGGGGTATGTTCACTTTTTCCTGTTCTCTGGAAGAGATCCTATAAAATTGTTTTGTTGTTGTTGTTTATTCTTTCTTAAGTTGTTGAAAAAATTCTAGTGATGACATTTGGACCTTGACTCCTTTTTAAATGTGCATTTAATTTTAAAAAATGTTATAGAACTTTGCAGATTTTGTATATTTTTGTATGTTAGTTACTTATATTTCTCAAGGAATTTGCCTGTTTCTTCAAAATTTGTTGGCACAATATAATGTCTTCATTATTTATAGTGTCTTTTTTTCACTCCTGATATTGGTTCTTTGTACCATTTTTTCATTTCTCAACAGTCTTGCCTTGAGTTTATCTGTTTATCTTTTTAAATAACCTTTTTTCTTGTATATCGTTTTTATTTTTGTTCATTTTTAGTCTTTGCTAATTCCTCCATTTTCTTTGGGTTTATTTTGCTGTTGGTCTCATGCACTGTTTGTGTGTCTTGTGCTTACTTGAGATTTATAACTGTTCTCTCGCCTTTCTACCTTATTCTGAAATAATTTTCCTGAAACATACAGTTTTTTAAAAAATGAAGATAGGAAATTGGGGTGAGTGAAGTTGAAGGAATGATATACTTCAGCACTAGGATTCGACTATTTATCAGCTGTTGTTATATTTCTAACATACTCTGGTTGATAAGATTATTAAATGCATTTGTAACAATGTTACTCTCTCTCTCTTTTTTTTTCCTATCCTGGCAGGACCTGTTGGGGCCCAGCCCCTACTAATGGTGCCCAGACGACCTGGATATGGCACCATGGGCAAACCCATTAAACTGCTGGCTAACTGTTTTCAAGTGGAAATCCCAAAGATTGATGTCTACCTCTATGAGGTGGATATTAAACCAGACAAGTGTCCTAGAAGAGTAAACAGGTAAGAATGGTGAAACTATGGAGATAAGATGTTAGTATTTATTTCTGCCATAGTAATTCTTGTTTATCTTTTATATCTGAAAACCAATGATAATATATAACAGTTTGACCAATATGTTTGAAATTGAGAGAAGTGATATTGGTAAAAATAAGCAAACTGCCTTGAAATTACACATTTGGCATTTGGCTCTTCGTATCTGAGGATTTCAAATCTGTGGATTCAACCAATCACTGATCGAAATATTGAGGGGGGGTGGAAGCAGTCAAAATAATACTTCAAAGGCTAAAAGGGAGGGTAAAGTGCTACTTATATACTGTTTGCATTGTAGTAGGTATTATACTTTATCTTGAGGTGATTTAAAGTACTGGAGGATGTGCCTAGGTTACATGCAAATATGATGCCATTTTATGTAAGGAACTTGTGCATCTGTGGATTTTTATATTCAAAAGGGGTCTTGAAACCAATTTCCAGTGGATATCAAGGGAAGACTGAAATTATTAATTCTAACAGCTCACAAATACATAATAATAGAAAAGACCCAAGTTATTTTTACATGCTCTTGAAATCAAGTTGAGCATCCTGGACCTATCTTTTTTCTTATTGTTAAACCAAACCAAACTCACAAACCAAACTCATGAGTCGATTCCGACTCATAGAGACTCCATAAAGAGTTTCCAAGACTGTAAATCTTTATTAGAGCAGAGAGCCTTAGCTTTCTCCCACAGAGCAGCTGGTGACTTTTAACCACTGTCTTTATGGTTAGAACCCAAACGCCTAATACACAACACCAGTGATAATATATCTGTTTTCTTTTTTCCCCCCACCCTGTTTTACATCCCCCTTGATAATTTCCCCTTTGAGAGGATGGTGGTTGTGGTAGCAGTGGCGAGTAAAGATGGTGGTTACTATGGTTTCATGCTTTCTGTTCTAGTCAACACAACTCTTTCCTACTCTTGTATAGGAAACAATATGTATGACATATAAAGATTTGTCAGTTTACTTTCAACAGATTCCCTCCTCCCCTCATTGTCCTATATATACCTGGCTGTAGTGTAGTTAATATAAGGAATTTATGGTATATTCCATGGTGGTTCAAACCCACCAGCCACTCCTTGGAAACCCTATAGAGGGTTGCTATGAGTCAGAATTGACTCTACGGCACTTAACAACAACAGCAACAACCATGGTGGTGGTGGTGATTGTGTGCCGTGGAGTTGGTTCCGAATCATTGTTGTTGTTGGTAGGTGCCATCAAGTTGGTACCAACTCATAGCGACCTTATGCACAGCAGAATGAAACACTGCCTGATCCTGGGCCAACCTCCCTACTGTTGCCATGCTTGAGTCCATCAATGCTGCCACTTGGCCAGTGCATCTCGTTGGGGGTCTTCCTCTTTTTCTCTAACCCTCCACCTTACCAAACGTGATATCCTTCTCTAGTGACTGGTCCCTCCTGATAATATGTCCGAAGTATGAGAGACAAAGTTTGGCCATCTTGGCCTCCAAGGAACACTCTGGCTGCACTTCTTCCAAAACGGATCTATTGGTTCTTTTGGCAGCCCATTGCACTAGAGCCATCAAAAACTTGGAGTGAGGGAGGGAATAGACAGAATACATCTTCATTGCATATTTGATTGATATCAGATTGAAGAAGTTGGTAGAATTCGTCTATTTCATCCTCACTGGCTTTAGTGGTTGGTACGTTAATCTGAATAATAGTGGTATTAACTGGGCTTCCCTGTAGGCGCATGGATATTATCCTATCACAGACAGTGTTGTACCTCATGACTGATCTGGATATGTTCTTTTTTTGACACTGAATGCAACACCATTCCTTTTCAATTCGTCATTCCCCGGCATAGTAAACCATGTGGTTGTCAGGTTCAAAATGGCCAATTTCAGCTCACTAATGCCTAAGATATGGATGTTTATGCATTCCATTTCATTTTTGACAACTTCCAATTTTCCCAGATTCGTACTTCATACATTCCATGTTCCAATTTTCAATGGATGTTTACAGCTGTTTCTCTTCATTTTGAGTTTTGCCCCATAAGCAAATGAATGTCCCATGGACTTTTCTCCCATGGGCTTTACTCCATTCGTGTCATCACGGTCAACTCTATTTTGAGGAAGCAGCTCTTCCCCAGTCACATTTTTAGTGTCTTTCAACCTGACGGGCTCACTTACCAGCACTATATCTGACAGTGTTTCTCTGCTATTCATAAGGTTTTCAGTGACTAAATGTTCGGAAGTAGTTCGTCACTCTTTCTTCCTAGTCTGTCTTCTATTAGAAGCTCATCTGAAACCTGTCCACCATGGGTGATCCTGCTGGTATTTAAAATACCGGTGGCATAGCTTTCAGAATCACAGCAACTCACAAGCTACTACAGTACGACAAACTGACATAGCAACCCTGTATAGGGTTTCCAAGGCTATAAATCTTTATGGAAGCAGAAAACCTCATCTTTCTCCTGTGGACAGACTGGTAGATTTGAACTGCTGATCTTTTTTGGTTAGCAGCCCAGCTCGTAATCCACTATGCTACCAAGACTCCTGTATATATACCATCTTGTTGTTTAGTGCCGTCGAGTCATTTCTGACCCATAGCGACTCTGTATTAGATTTCCAGTGAGCTGCTGATGAGCTTGAACTGCCAACCTTGCAGTTTAAATGGCTTTGCAGTCTTGTGCATTAACCCACAATGCCACACCAGGATGCCGTAAAAGAGGTTATATTCCAATTAAAACAAGAACAAGACATTTAGAAAATAATATAGTATTTAGCAAACTTTTCTCATTCAACAATATTATTAAGAACCTTTGTTCAAGGCACAGCTGTTTCTTGATATCAAGAAATTTGTGATTTAGTATAAGAGATAAGGCAACATAGTAAATATGATATGAATAAGATACATTTTTTTTTTTTTTTTAGGTTTTCTGTCCTAATTGTTAGCATCTCTGTCATCACCTATAAGTGAATGAGTACTTAGAGACTATGGTAACACAAAAAGATAAAAATGAATGTTATAATTAACTTGTAATTTTATGTTCTTTTTGAATCCAGAAAGGGAGTTGTAGAGTATTACAATTGGAAGGAACTTAAGAGATCTGACACCTCTTTTTTTTATAACTGAAATCAGACAGATTGAGGGACTTACTCAAGAACACACAATTTTAATAGCAAAAATGAGACTAGAACTCCATATTCCTGACTTAGTCATCATTAAGAAAAAGATACATATATATTTTTTTCATGTTTTATTGTTAATTATTATAGTTTACATGAGAGAACTTTAGTTTTACATTCATTCCACCGTATATCGTTTCATTGCCATGGTTCCAATCCCCTCCATGCAACCACCCAAAGGGTATACCCTATAAACCTGCCCCCTACTCCCCCCCTCCCCGATTCTTCAGCACACAGTCCCTCTCCCTCTCTGAATCCAAAGTCCCCAGCCGCTTCATCACTCCACGTCATCGTTTGATATATATTATTTTTTAAGAAAATAAATTGGGTTAATCTAAAACAGTTGGTAGAATTTTAGATAGTTGTAGTAAAGGTAACTTTTTTTTTTTTTTTTTTCAAAGAGGGGTAACAGTAAATCCTGGTGTGACGCTGTAGCATAAGCACTGGACCATAAGGTTGGTTTGAACCACAGGTTCCCTTCCCTCTGCCTCAATTCATCCCGCTCACATTCCCCAGGTGCCTGGGCCCCTGTTGCTATACCAGCCAACAATTTCAATTAGCAACTTCCTGGGCCACTTATTCCTGAAGATGGACCATCTTGAGAATTACTTCTCACAGTAACCTTAATTTTAGCTCACCGATGGTCACATAGTAGATACTTCTTTTTGCCAATTTAGGTGCCTTTAATTTCCCTCTCTTGCCTTATAGCTCTAAATGTTGTTGTTGTTGTGATGTGCCGTGGAGTCGGTTCCGACTCGTAGTGACCCTGCACGGGGTTTCCGAGGCTGTAAATCTTTATGGGAGCAGAAAGCCTCATCTTTCTCCCGCGGAACAGCTGGTAGTTTTGAACTGCTGACCTTGTGGTTCGCAGCCCGATTCGTAACCACTACACTACCAGAGCTCCTTATATTGCAGTGAATATTGACTGCTATAGCTACTGCTGCCACTGTCTGCCTTAGAGTAGATTCCAACTCATAGTGACCCTATGTAGGATTTCAGAGACTGTAAATCTTTACAGGAGCAGAAACTGTCATCTTTCTCCTGTGGAGCAGCTGTTGGATTTGACCTGTTGATCTTACAATTAGCAGCTCAATCTGTAACCCATTATACTACAGGCTAATGCACTAGACTGCAGGGTCAGTGGTTCAAACTCACCAGCTGCTCCTTGGAAACCCTATACAGCAGCACTACCAGAGCTCCTACAATGTTGACTAGAAATGGTGATAAGGGCATCCTTGTCTGGTTCCTGTTTGCAAGGGGAATACATTCAGTTTCACTCCACTGAAAATAATGTTAACTATTGTTTTTGTATATATGCCCTTTAGGGATTTCCCTCCTATTCCTATTTTGTTGAGTTTTTGTCTGGTATATGTATTAGATTTTGTCAAATGTCTTTTCTGTGTCAATTGATATGATCATGTGGTTCTTCATACACTTTTTATTTGAGTTTTGATAGTGCTATTGTCCTTCTTTGGGACTTCAAAAATTACATTAAGCAAAGTCTTAATAACAGTTATTTTTAATTGTTATCAACTTGACTTTATAGCAATATTTGCAAAAGTAAATATCTGTTTTCTTAACAGACTTGCTTTGGGCTTCCAATTTTATAAGATTACTGCATGACTACTCAGTTAAAACTTGAGTGGGCTTCTGAAATTGATGGTTAATGTCATACACTTCAGTTCTAGAGGTTAGAAGGAACATTACAATTCCTTCTCAATATTAACTGAACATTAAGGGCCAAAATGTAGTAGTTCAGTTGTCTAATTTTTAACTTGTCCAAATGGTTGTTAAAGGATAGGTTGTTTAGTTTCTT